TGACAAAAATATAAAATTTACACCTGTAACAAAACTCCCCTTCATTAAAACTAGTCATGTATTCTCAATTATAAACCTTAATCAATTTATCAAATTAGTTTTATTATTAGTTTTAACCTCTCACATTTTGTACTCAAATAGACAATAATTTTCCGGTCATTTAAGTTTTTTTTTGGCATTATATATTCCATTTTCTTCTCAAAATATTATATCTTATAAACTAGGCATATTCATCGGGTTCAAATTTGATAGAAAGTAGTTATTTAAAAATTTCTCAAAATTGAAAATGAAAAATACTCAATGTGTTTATATAAAATTCATAATTAACATGTTAAGGCAAGGTATACCACATAGGAAACGCCCAGAACTTGTGAAAAAAAAAATTGAAGTTGTTTGGCTACTCGAACTAATTTATAACAATTTTGTGTAAATCTTGCAATTTAGGAAAGTTGATCTTTCTCTCATCCGGATGTACATATTCTGTTTCATGCACTGATCTTTATCTATTGTACTGTTTGTCACATATAGTCACTGTCAATTTTGTCATGTCATGTCAAGAGTATGTCATGTAAATCGCGACGGCATATATAGAGACTGTACTGTACTCTTGATGTGTTAGGTTTCAAGTTGACTTCTGATGCATTACATCATATTTATAGTCAAAAATATGTAATTGCTTGATCGGTATTCTATAATCTCTCATGCGACAAAATATCATTTAGCAATAAAATGTCGACCCAGTTTGAACCGTGAATTATTCTGTAATATATGACTTTCTGATTTGAGATCTGATGTGTAATTGAAATTTCTCATTTATTATTAGAAGCTCAATATTGTCGACGCATTGACAAAAATGGATCCTCATTTTTGACAAACCAACTTATACATGCTGATTAAATGCCGTGACTTTTTTCTATTTGTTTTAGTATATTTTGAATATGGAACGATTATCATACACTACTTAAATTTCATCACAAAATGATTTACAAGGTTTAGTTGAACACGAGAATGGGTTACGAATCTAATTCTGATTTTTTGCCAAATAAACACATACCTGCTCTGATAAATATTCGGACTTGAAAAATAAAACACGAAAAGTCCATTTTTTGCATAGATATTGGGCTACATTATATTTCAGTGAAACACGGAGAACGATTTTTGTTTTATTTTTATCTATAACACCTTGCTTGAGTCATGTTCATATGCAATTACTAACATTTTCACCTATAGGTATAACCTTAATACTCAACTTTTGGCCCGACAAAATGTTTTGCCACTTGACTTTCACCTGTTAATTTTGCTTTATAATTAAATACCCGTGAATTAACCAATTTCCGATTAAAAATAAACTTGATAGTTATCCTATTTGCAAACCCGAAAACTTTGAAAAACCGCAACCTAATGACTTTATCAAAACATTCTAATCGAGAACGAAATTCAACCTGCGATAATTAGGATTGCAAACAGGATAACGTAATCAAGTAATCCGGTACCCAACGTTTTGCATTTCAGTTGGTTCTATATGAAATATATTCTTTTTTTCTTTACATCAGTAACGGTCATATGATGCTACTTAAATTTGCGAATTTGTATTTTTATGCGCATTTTGAATTGTACACCATCCGGATAAAAGTATACAAATTCTAGTGGGTCAGTTTGCATTTTATGCGCGTAGAAAATGATTCCATGAAAGCTGTCCAATTACTGTACATAATGAGTCGTTTGGTTAATTTGAAACCCGCAATTAAGTCTTCGATAATCACCAATATCTTATACGTTTCAGCGAAAATTGTCACGATTGAATCAATTTTCTTTAAATTCTACACGAAAATAAATCACTTGACGTCACATCTATGACGTAGACTTTAATGGCTTCACGAGAGCGAGAACGCAAAGTGAAAAACCGTGCGAAATAGCTTGAACGCAACAACGTGCCTATGGTTTTATATTTATCTTCTTGCGCTTGTTGGATTTTATTGATACGTGAAACATGTTCTAAATATTTATATTCTGGTGACATAGTTTAGTTTCATAGTTTGTTGGTAGCGTACGCGGTAGCTTAGAATTGACCATGTGATTTATATTTTGATGAAAAAGGCATTTCTTATTCAGAGACTGTATTTTGAAGTGTTTGAATATTGAATATATTTTGCTCGGTGTAGCATATTGATGAGACGTAGTAAATTTCAATGGATAGATTTCAGAAAGTTTCAAAAAAGAAAATCATATGACAAGTTAAAATTGTTGAATTCCAGTTGAAAGGTCAGTTTTTTTAGAAATATACGGGTCGATAGGTAATTATGCGATTAGATCTTTCGGTTTTAAATTCACTGCAGCTGAAATTATTTGTTCGTGGAGTATTTTAAAGATTACCTCTGATCGAGCGATAGAAAGAATACAAATAAATAGTTTTTAGACAGAAATTTCCTGAAATCGTTTTGTAGCAAAAATGATCTACGGGCAAATTTTATTCATTTCGTCTATATTAGGCTTTATATAACTGACATGCTGCAGTTTGATATTTCGATATACATTTCCCAGGTTTAATTCTCCATTTCTTCTCAATTTTAAGGTATTTTTTAATTTGCAAACATCCGTTTTTCTAAGTAAAAATTATACCAAAATAAGGTTTAGAAGAAGTTGTAATTTTGCGCGATTTATTGAATTTTGTACTATGTACTTATGTTTTATTACGTTTTGAGGTTTATTCATTACTGCCTTGATGTTACATTTATCAAAATAGCAATACCATTACGTTATGGCAAATTTAAAAAAATACAGTATGTAGTCCATCGTTTTCTCCTCAGTAACCTAGTATCTGTTTAGTATATATATGTTTGGAAATATATATCGATCAGCATTTTCGTTTAAATTTGATTAAACATTCTATGGTCAGGCAGTTCAAATAGCGATAAAGCGTATAAAGCGATAATGCAACTTTCAAAAAACTTTTACAACTTTAACGAAATTTTTATTCAAATTCATTCTTCTATTTTTAATTCTTTTATATTACCATCATTACATATAACATTTATTCTTTCTATTCGCAACTGAAACTCCAACTTGTGCCAACTTTAACTAATCTTTATTTGACCAGTTTCAATCAAGTTCAAATGTTTCATATGTTTCAAATGGGTTCAAATTGTATGGTTCAGTATATATGTATAATGTATGTTTACCAGTCAATTTACAAGACCTACTTATAGAAAAAAGTTTTTCTGTAGCAATTTCTAAGAAATTTGATAAAATGCAAAAGTAATAGCAAGTTGTTTTTGTTTTATCCGAAGCTTTTGTCGAGTACAAATCAGAAATGAAACCACCTTTAGATTTCTAAATTTTAAAAACCCAACGCTCCGGCCAGAGCAATGTGAGAGCAGATGCCACCATATCATGTCTTTATTGATTTAGTCTTATTAGACTAGGCACTCTGAGAGGCAGAGTAAAATAGATCAGCTAAATTCTGTATATATATTGCATTTTAATTTGCGACAATGGTGTGGAAACATTTATGAATAAGATGCGAGACAACTAATTTTGGCCATGAAATCACTTATATATGCTATTTTTAAAACGGGTTTGAATTTTTGTTGAATTGTGTGGACGATTTAAATTAAATCAACCATACTCTGAATTCAAAAAATACCGTTAAAATCAATTTATTGTAGAGTATAACAATAAGGCATCTAAATTTGAAAATCAAAATTTTTTTTACTCTGTGTGATAAATTTAGGTGACAGGGCATATTCTCCGTCGTTTATTTATTTTCATTTTAGCTCAATTATTTCAAACAGTTTGTGAGATAAAATTCTTGTATATATTTATAGTATTATAATTATGTCGCTTGCATTCTTGTTACTCGCCCCAGGTAAGATTTTGATGATTAGGAGGATCTTTTATATTCCGATATAAACATTTCGTAGTTTTCATAATAGCGGAAGTTTATTAAAAAGGGATAAATATTGAGAAAATTACAGAAATTTAATATTTGTATTTTTTCTTAAAAATTTTTTTTGTTTACTTGAATAGTATATGATATAATATAATGTTTACAGAGTTTTATTTCGTTTCAAATTTGTATATTTATGGTTTGGTATTAATTCTTGATGCAATTGTGTTTTCAGTTTGATTGGGAGTCAATATAGGAATATTACCTATTTATTTAAAACAAAATTTAGCATGCTCGCAATATTAAATTTTGTTACTATCAATATATGGCTACCTAAATAATATATTAGTTATGTTTCTAATGTATTCGAAATCCAATTTCTAAATTTGATACATACATGGTTACCTTTTTGCTAAATTTATTTTTCTACTTTGTATATTCAAAGTAGTTCAACTCGGATGTCGACAAATAATAAATATTTGATCCTGAAAATGTTTGAAAATTTAAATTCAACGATCTAAAAAGAATTTTAATTTGTGTATCAAATTTAGTGTTCTTCCGTGCGAGAGATATAGATAATTGTATATAGATATCGTGCCAATAAAGACGTCACAATGCATAAAATTATCTCGCGGATGTCTAATATTATTTGCAATAAAAGAAGAGTCGTGTATATTAATAAACACGATGCGTTTCTGAATTAGTATCTCGTGCAGTCATTTTCGTTGTGGCCACCTATAAAGAGTTATATGAAGAATCAGGGTTTTACGTCTAAAATGAACAGTAATATCATTTTAATGCGTCGGAATTTTAGTCCGTGATGGTTGTTTGCTTTTAGCGAGTTGCTATTGGGTTCTTGCATTCTATTTTTTAAACGTTATTCAAGTGTTGAGAGTTATATAAAAGTCTTAGTAATTTTACGCATGGAGCATTTCATTGATAAATCAAACAACAGAATGAAAATAAAGAAATTAAATAAAGTATTGTAGATGAAGAAGTTCTCTTGTGACACTCCATTCTAGAATTCAAATTTCTACTATCGAGTTATAGAGTTCATTTCGACTGTAGAATGCATATACATAATAAGTTTATAATACTCAAAATAAAAATATTTTATGTAATTACAGAAAATAATAGGCAATATATAACTCTGAAGTTGCTAATGTTTGGAATTGCAAATCTAATGGGCGATAGACTACAAAGATTCTTCGGAATATTACCTTTCCTTGTTAATGGCTGTACGTGTGTTCTCATTGTTGTGTCATTGTCAACGACCGGATGGTTTTATCATAAAGATTCGAGTTATGGATTATTTCAAAGATGTTGGATTACGGAATCGGGAAGACGAGATTGTAAAAATTTAGGTAAGTTTTTTTTAATCTTTTTGGCTGATTATAGGTAAAACGCTTTTACATTAAACATGGGATATATATCACAAATAAACTTAAAATATTCCTGTAGTATGCGAACCAAGATGGCGGACACCGGAACGTAGTATGGGTACTAGGTTAGGGTTATGTCATAATTTTATTCCAATTTTCCGGTTTTTAATTCTATTACGAGTTTGGGGACTAGCCAAGTGACTCCCGTAGTATTTGTACTTTAAATTAAGGCCTAACCCTAACCGGGTACACATACAACGTTCCGGTGTCCACCAACTTGGTTCGCATACTACAGGAGTACCAAACTTGATATGACAAGAGGCTTCATTAATCTTTGATGAAAGACGAATTAATGACTGGTTATTCACCTGATCTGTTGGGATATCTTGAGTTATGTTAGTAAATCTAATGTTTTATAGTATATAAGATGGGATTCAATTAGTGCCTTTGATGTGAACTCGTGATAAAATTTCGATAATTAGAATATATTGGATTAAATGTAGCGAAGTTATTCTTTACCAGAGTAAAACACTTGTATTTAGTTACCATAAAAATATTTAAAACTTTAATTTACTATTCGAAACTAGTATAAAGGTAACCGACAAGTACCTGTAGCACTTCACAATCATAATTAGTATTAATAACTCTTGATATTGTAGCCACAAATAAAAGTTAATATTAATATCCATTTTGTAATTGTGGATTCGTATTTAAGAAATATTGTTTACAATATAACCACGTTTGGTTTCTTTATACATAAACATCAGATTTTGAAATATGTCACGTTTGGTGATATATCGCTCATGTTAACTTTTTGACCGTCTGTATTGGTGACAGACATAACGTCTAGTATCGGTTCCTATTTAAGCTACAAATGAAATCTTTCTGAAATATGTCTTGTTGAACTTTAACCTATTAGGCGTCGATATCCGAAGTCACGAATACAATCGAAAAATCTTTAATAAATAAACAATTTTATGATATCATTTCTGGTGTAGGTAAGAAAATTAGGGAGGAATAAGAAATTGCATTTTTTGTCAAAATTCGAATATCTTTAGCTTTACTGATGATTACAGAAATAGAAAATATTAATGCAAGAAGGATTATTGTGTATGTTAAGATCATGTTTTACGTCATAGGTTTCGGACATTCAGTAAATTAATAGGCCACATCATTTAACTAGTACATTGCAAATTTTAACTTGATCTCAGGAGAAAGTTACTAAAGTTTTTAATAACTAGATTATTAATTAAAAAGATTAAAGAACATAAATGTAATTGTGTGGTCACTTAGGGTCTAAACTCATTAATTAAACATCCGTATTTACAAACGAGACATCGAAAATCGATCGATGAGAGCGTCATATCTGGCTCGATGATATCTATAATAATCAACAATAATTGCACAAACTCATTTCCGCTGGCAGAAGGACAGCTATCAAGTTTTATTTTATTACGTTGTATCATTTGGCAATCAAGAAAGTATCGAAATGAATTACTTTTTGGCTGCCTGGCAATAGAACGACATATTAAATAGGGAAATTAAATCATTAAATCATCAATATAAAAGGACGTATGTCATCGTGGTACACCGATTTAAAAACTGAAATTGAAATTTTCTTTTTTTTTTTCAAAATATCAAATTCAACGGAGTTAAATCGTTCAAACTTTATCCATCATTTTTATTTTTAGACGGTGGAACAGCAGAGAAAACAGCTTCAATATGCCTGCTGGTGTCATTAGTTCTGCATTTTGTGGCAACTGTAGTTTCATTTCTTGGACATGTTGAAAGTCGTAAAAAGAATTATAAAATTGCCGGAGTTTTTTCTACGATTGCAGGTGTGTGTTGTGGCATTTATTCCTGAATAAGAAATTGTTAGGAAATACCAATATTCTTCTCTCAAACACACTATGAAGGATAATGTGAGAGCAGTGATCTCACGTTCAATCAATTTTTAACTTTTTTTCCGAGGAATCCAATAGTGACGTTTTAAGATTGCGCTTCCTTTTAGTTTATTGTGCACTCGATTTGTGGCGATATGATGGATATTTTACAAAAAAACTAAAGTTCATCCGATTTAAATAAAAAGTATGCCAGTGGATATGGATAGATCTAAGTCAAAATAAGAAAACAATACCAAGTTTGCTTAGCTCATTCGGCTAAATTCATGTTGTTGTCGATGCTGTTGTCTTTTGGGGGGGAAATCACCTTTGCCCGTATTACGTTTATTTTTATTTTCAAATTCCCACGGGACCCAATATTTCACCCATTTTTATTTTATTGTAATTCATGGGAATACTTCATTACCTCAGAACACGCCTCAGTCACGCTTGTCCGTCGATCTTTTTAGCAAACTTGTTACTCAACTAGACAGCTAAGGGCTTAGAATATCGATACCGATTCGCGATTTTCGTGCCTATGCATTTGAGTATTGCCTATAATTATCACTATCAAATCGTTTCTATATTTACTAACAAAATTCTCTCTTTTACAGTTTTCGTCATTTGTGGAGGTTCCGGTACATACGCGGGAATGGCGATTTTGTATACTGAATTCACACTGAGATACAGTTTTTATGTATCAGTGGGAGCTGTTGGAAGTTCACTTTTCTCAACTATACTTTCCTTCTCTATGCTGAGATTCGATGAAAATCCGAAAAAGATCAATATCAACGAATCTCTTACAGAAGTTACGGTGTTAACATGAAGCATTACATGGACATTGATTTCTGCAGAGGTAGAAATCGAATGTAATACAATGTGAATTTCGCGAGAAGCAAAAAAGAAATGCTACAGAAGAGAACGACAATGTAGAGAGATTCAGTGCCGGTGTGATATTGGTGAAAACAAATCGAACTAATATGAAAACTAACAAGTGTTTTGCTATTAGCATAACTGCCACATTGCTTTTGACAAATAAAGTGAATTCATTGCTTCAGAAATTCGCAAATAGTGGTATATACAGGATGTCCATAAAGTCTAAAAATTGATCGATGCCATATATATATTGTTTCGGCCCTCACACTGGTTATGATATATTGAGAACTGACTTAATAACAAAATTAAAATTGTAAAGGGACTTTATGGACACCCTGTATATGTATATTAATCCCAGAATATTTTACATAAACCTGCATGATATAAGTATTTATAACTTCTATTCCTTTGCTGAAAGCTGGGTTTTTCAGAAGTCAAAAACATTTTTAGAGTTAAATGACAATACAATCAATGTTTTGTTGTTTATACTATTGTCGTAATTGGTATTACATGATATATTACTATAACGTCAAACCACTGACCCTATTGCGACAACATTTTGGTGCTTCCTTTTTTTCGACGCGCATAAATATATCAACCCAAACAATAACTATAAAAATATCTCACTGAAGGCGTTGTGTGTTTGGTGTGACACAAAAAAAGACAGAAACAATACAAGAATTTCTCTTCATGGGTGGATTAAGTTTTTGAAATTTTTTGCAAACAATGTAATAATGTAGTATTGTAATGGGTTGATATTATTTATGTTTAGGTAAATACTAATAGGTCAGTATTATTCATTTATTATGTTTCAATTTTTATCCTCAACTTTGTTTCAAATTCAAACTTTTTCGTCGAAATAAAAATAAAATCAAAGAGTATTTTTTCTTTGTGTTTGTGCATTCCGTGGGTTATCAATCGACCGTTAATTACGAATCGCACCTAAGGTCAAATTGAAACTAAACAAACATTCATATTGTACGCCAGAAAAGCAGGAAAGTATTGGGTTTACCACTGTTTTTATAGTCAATGTTGTCTGATCGCCAGATTGACCATGACGTTTATTAATCAGAAATACCTTAACTAGGATGCCAACATATTTAAGGTATTGTAGCCATATTCAACAGGCTAACATATATTTTACATAAAATGTTTTTCGTTTTTACCATTGTGCAAAAATTATTTTGTAAATGCCGATTTCAATTGTATATTGATATGATTTTCGCGATTTTTCCGCACGCTATGACGTATTAATTGTATGACATAGATAGGACATTCTCAAATGAATGATTGGAGAAACGTAAAAAAAATGTAAATTTGCTGCCTCAAGATTTCTTGATCAACAGCATAGTAACCAACAGCTTCTACGTGCGTGCTTTCCGTTTTTGTACACGAGCATCGTGCGTTGCCAGTTTTATTTTCGATAAAACGTTTCTCAAATCTAACATTTCGGAATTTCTTTCCTGTTACGTATTTGAAACTAATAACTAATATGCAAATTAGAAAACATTTAAATAACTATTTCAACTTAGAATATAGACATAATAAATAAATGTAACTAAATAAGACAAAACTAAGAAGAAAAAGTTCTCACAAAACCTAAAAAATCAAACTCAGAATACATAATTTATAGTTTATAAATGAGACTCGACCAAACTTAAATTATTTAGATTTGTTAGAATCAAGCTTAATTTGTATTAACGAGGCAATACATTATGTTTTAATATTTAATATGACTAAATAAAATAATTCAATTATTATTTCACGTTTGGTCAGGTATTTTTAGGGTTAATATCTCCCTTGGCGTGTAGAAAAAATCATATCCATCTTTTCGAGAAAAATAGTCACATATTGAACACTATATATATTGATTTGGCAAGATAATTTGCTCTAAGCAGGTCACAGGCTTGCTCATACATAAGCAAAAAGAATCAATTTTGAGTAAATTCACCGTCGACCACTTAACTGCTGAAAGCTACGAAAGCTACTGGAAATATACATATCTATTCTATTATTAAAAAAAATGCATTGCAAATTATCAATTTATGATGGTCGGTGGACGCTGATGGAGGCGAATCAGTTCAAGTTAAACAGTCCAACCAGACGAAAAGTTGTTAAATTACCGAATTCCCTATAACTCAAGTTCTGTGAAGAAGAGAGTACATTGACAGTAAACGCAGCTTTCAATACACAATTCACCTTTTATTTGTATTTTGTGTAAAAACTTCGGAATGAAACAGAAGATACCAAATAAAAGAAGAAAATGGCTGCTTATATTTTCACATAAACATATGTTAACACAGCAAGTGTCTTGAACACTGTTTTGAATAAACATGATTTGGAAAATGGGGCATATTTATATAAACTTATCGAACTTCTAGGTGGGTTTTTATTATTAATATAAAGCACACTTCTGTTTCCACGTAATATCAAATATAAACTTAGAAAGGTTGTTGGTTAAACAAATCAGTCTAATTTAAAGTTGAAAGTTTCCTATCGGAAATATACTTCCTATTAATACACGCTTGTACATATAAGGATGCATCAGTCACAATGATATATCTAATATAAGTGCAATAGTACAAAGTTGATGAAATTCGAGTTCATGCATGGGACACGCCTTTGAAACAAGTTTTGTTCTTCACGCATGTTGAAATCGTGATATCTCGTGAAGTACTGTTAGACAATGGTAGCTAAAAACCCAAAAATATTCTGTAAAAGATTTAGTTAACGATCCAACAAGTAGTTTTTTTTACGTTGTTTACATAATTAACTGTGAATCTTAACAGTCAAACGTCCTGTTGTGTTCGTTTTGTTTTTCTTAATACTAAGGGCACTGCTTGTATCATTGTTGTGAATATTATCCCCAAATATTAGTAATCGGAATCGTGGAACGATTAAGTTAGATTTTATGTATTTTGGAAAACTTTTTCAGTTTTTCGACTCGAAATAAAGTTATTGATATTTAAGTCTTTTATTTAATCCTCACTCAAATGTCTCTGCATAATTTAAAAGTGTACATAGTGGCAAATTCTTCTGAAGTCCAAACATAAAATCCTTTCAAAAATTGTTTGATTTTCGAACGTGGGAATTGACATTAAGGAAATTCTCAAAAACAATCCAGTATGACGGGCTGTTACGCAGATTAGACATTAGCGGTTAGACATTAACCAATTGCGTTAAGATCAATCGCCACACCTCCTTTTGTAAAGTGGTAATGTTAACTGTTAATATTTGTAACATACAGTAAATGTTTTTGGGAAATATACTACACATTTTATTTGTGTTGTAATTACATGTTTCGCCTTTTTTATTGCCGATATTTCGTTCGCATATTTTGCATCATCGACAACACGAGATATTTGAACCATGAGAAAAGAACAGAAATGATCGATAAGCCAGGACTTCAATTTTGAATTTTACAAAGCACTCTCTCACCGTCTAGCGTTTTGATACAGCAACCAGATATTTACGGTGGAATATTAACGTTGCATGATTTCGTGAAATTGACTGGCTTTCTAACAAAGGTAAGCAGAAGCAGCTAAAATAAGCTAATGACTTTTTAAAACTTTTACACGATAGTAATTCTTTTGTTTCAGTATCATCAAAATCATTTGTCGCTAGAGTGGATGGCCAGTGTTAAATAATGGACTCAAAGGGCGCTCCAGAAGCGTGTGTACCAATATGAAGGTAACTAATTTTGTTCGCCTATTTTACATCAAGTTGTGTAAAGGGACTGAAGCCTATGGGCAGGAGGTATATTCACTTTACTAACACAGACAGTCCTCGAATTCGTAATAGAACTAAAATAAAAAAAATCGGAATAAAATTATGGCTTAACCCTAACCTGGTACATACGCTACGGGGGTATCCTTATAGGAGCTTTCGCTTGTCATCTACAATCCACAATTTCAATATGGTTAGCTCAACGAGCAATCTACCCAGTGCACTAACGTTGTTGACAAAAGCATTAGTGCGATCAACTAATTTGGTTTGTCTCATTCAGTAATTTATTTCACAAAATTGTTAATTGTAGTTTACTTGTAAAAAAGTTCCACTTTAAAGTATTTTGCAAAAACTATTACTTTGTAGATTTATGTCTCACTCAGTTTTTTCTAACTTCTGAGTGATTTGAATACTCTTACATAAAAATCGTTATTTGTTTAAGCGCCAAGCAACCATTGTCAGGTCATTTCTTGACACTTGTATAGGTTTAGATTGCATTCCAAACAACCATCCCAGATATTTCAAAAAATGTCAAAAAACTATATTTTGAGAATTATTTCACATTCAATTCCAGGATAAAACGCACTTGATGATGGCAATAAACAACATATTTTCCAATATCAGTAGTTGAGTGCTTTCAGGCAGATTTGTTTAAAAAATGAACAAAAAACAAATTTTTCATGTAAACGATTATGCACCAGGCGAGTAGAAGTAACTCCAGTCACCTTGCTATTGTGATACACGGATCAAAATAAAATATTCGATTCGACTACATCACAATCAGTATAAATAACTAATTGGTTGATGGCTTTAATTTTTCAAAAAAAGATACTAAACCAATTAATATTCTTCCAAATTTAATTTTGAAAATTTCGAAACAGGCCGGATACACAATATTCTTAACTGAAGTAGCGTAATAAGTAAATCCATCTATGCTTATCAAATGACTTCCTCGAAGAATAGAAATAGAGTAAGGAATAGAACACAATGAGGAAAATTTATTCAGAGCAATATAGAGATATTGTGAATATTTAAAAAAATATGACACCAGTGCACGTCCATTAATTCCAGTCAACAAATCCAGCCGCTTGGAAAGTTTATACACTAAATATATCTCGGGCCAAGCATACTGCTTGTGCTGGACAATTTCGCTTGTTGACGGCCAAAATTGTTTTCCGTTCAGAAAATATTATGATCATGTATTTTAAAAGAGCTAGAGATGGAAATCGAGCAAGTTTATAACTAATTGTAATTTTGTGTTTTACCGGAATCTCATTTTACACTGTTAGATTGTTTTTACATCACAGACTGCCCCAATGGCCTAAGATATTTGAATATTATATGGCCCTGTGAATACTTTGAAATCTTCATGGTTGATGTATTATTTTATAGTGCAATGTAGTTTTGAAACCATGGCTCGATTCGGTTTTGACCAGTTAAATCTGGATTAATCCAGGATTGTTATACTTTGCGTCAAACTAATGAGTAATCTGTTGATTGTCTTTTTCGCCATTTCCTTGTATTATTGCAACAAGCAATTTTTTGTATCCACCAGTTGCGTGGCTTTTAACTTTATTGATGAGAGATTTTCCATATTTCTTCTCGTATATTTCTCTGATATCTGCTAAGTCGATCTAAATGAAAATCAAAACGGGCATCAGTTTTTGTTGCAAAAAGTACAAGACTTTATATCATTGAATCATTTATGCTATCAATTACATATACGAGTAAGCAAAAATTGAAAATGATCAGATTTCAACTTCTCAAGGGGTGGTGGTTTAAGGATGCACGTACTTGACGGACGGTCCCACTTTCACCAAAAACATTTTGCATATTAGGTATTGCACAGAATGTAAATTTTTGTCACCAGTAAACAAACACTAATTTGAGATATTTGAAAATCATCATGAATGTAGACGTAGTCCATATCACCAATGCAAAGCTATGACTCTAGATTCTAGGCTAAACTTACTTCAGATCTTGACACCACAATTCGAGTCAAAATATCATGTTTTGTTGTAATTCCCTCCATACTCTTGTGCAAAAGCTCAGCAAAAAATTCAGGAATACTGTTTGCACACTTCACCGTCCATTTTAAACCTTCTTCGACATCGCCTGAGAATTCTCGTTCTATAAAAGCATTGATGTCACTTTTTGTAACCTGCATAATAACAACAATTTTAGAATCATCAAAAGTCTATACTAATTGAATTAGGAGTAGTGCTAGGCATTTTCGAATACCTTGTGATTTCAAAACGAAATCGAATATTTTTTTCGAATCGAATCTCGAATATTTGGGATATATAATTGTAAGCGAATTTTTCTTTGTAATTGGTCCTGTCAACAGAAGAATTACTGAAGACATAGAATACATCTCTCAGATAGACTACTGAGCATTCACACACAATAACAAGCACGTTTTATCAATAACTCACTACAGAGAGTCAGAATGTCAGAATTGCGTTGAAAATATAAGGCTCCTATAATAAATGGGGTATTCACCTCGACCATTGGCGGTAAGAAAAAAAAAACAAGATGGCGGCAATTCGAATTTTGCTCTGAACCGATTCGAATAATTTACTATTCGATTCGAATAGTCGGTTCAAAATGCCCAGCCCTATTCAAAAGTCTTGCTGCACACTAACACAAATGTATTTCTGTAACGTTTCGTCTGACCAGAATTAGACTTCTTCAGACAAACATTTTTCAACTATGATAATAAACGCGATAGGATGTACATAAATATTGGTCAGCAATTGTTGGGTTAGTTTTCAACAGAGAAAAAGAAAATTGTGGACAGTGCAAGAACAATACGGAAGTCAAATTTAAATTTTAAGACCAAGGAAAGGTAGTTAGTCTTGCGTAACCCCAAATGATAATCAAAAGTCTGCCTTGATTTCCACTTATTGGGGTTTTCAGAAGAATAAAGTTAAGTTCAAACGAGGGATAACGAGAGTAAAAATGAAACTTGTAAAAAGCTCGGAATGAGAAAACAGAAAATGGGGACTCCCGTAGTATGTGAACTAAGATGATGGTAAACACCATCAGGACATAATTATATTCTAATTTTCCTTATTTTAGTTCTATTAGAAGTTCAGGGACTAGCCAAGTGACTCCCGTAGTATTTCCACCTGAAATGGCCTAACCTTAACCAGGTACACATACTACATTCAGGTGTCCATACTACATCCATCCACATACTACATGAGTACCCAAAATGTACAAAAGTCAAAAAATACAAGATGATGCTGATACTGAAGAATTTATTTATTTGAGCTGTGTTTGTAGGAACCCAATATCAATACAAAAGTGATTTTATTCGAAATCAAATCAGAATCTTGATAATATGAGCGCTTCTGACTGACTATGTTTGTAGTCGTTGGGACGAGGGCAATGCTCAAATATACGGACACGAAAGCCGCAAAACGATCCGAATGTCCATTTTGTGTCCAAAACTAATTTAGATATTTAATGCTGCAGTTTCATCACATATTCTCTTCTGACTAACTAACTATGTTTGTAGACGTTGGGACGAGAGCAATGTTCAAAAATTTGAACACGAAAACCAAAAAACGATCCATATGTACGCTTCGTCTTCAATAACTTGTTTATAAATTTAATGCTGCAGTTTCGTTACCGTATTTAAAGTCACGAACCTCTTTATAAGCTTCGAAAATCTTCCTCAACTGTGGAAATCCTTCACAACAACATAAACCAATAAAATCGAATCTTGGTTGGTCTGTTCCTCGTAGTTCAGTATATGTTGAATAAATCTGTGATGCCACATTTCGGGCTTTATCTGCATCGACCGATGAAGAGGGAGACCTTTTCCCCTGGAAAAAAGTTAAGAATAGTTAAATTGTGATGAATAGTCCTTGATAAAATCTAGTTATAAATTTAGGAAGTACTAGTTTTTGTATTATTAAGAGTTTATCAACAACTTATCAAGATGTTAATGTTAGTGATATCAACTGTATTCAGGATAAACATTTTCAGATCCCAGTAATATTTCAGGACTAAAAAACGGCAATTTGATAACACACATTTTAGAATACAAAAAAAAATTAGGGAACATTTCAGAAAAAATGAAATGTAAAAATCACTGACACATAATATTTTAAACATTATTTGAGTTACGGTGTGCCTTGTCAGCATCAGTACATATTATCGACTCTACCCTACTATCTGTACACTTTGCGCTTTGAGATGAATTTTCCACTTGTGGTTAAGTGCGTATGACACAGTTTGGAGCGTATTTTGTGTAACATTTTATTGAATCGGTTTTCTTCATATAATCATATTTCAAGGTATTTACTCTAAGGGCTTGGTATAGAAATAGAGGTTGGTCTGGGAAACGATATCGGACAGTAAAAGAGACGATCTAATGCAGGCTCGGCGAAGTGGCTCATTGTGTTTTGCGTTAGAAACATGTTCGCCATCGCACCTCTTATTACCCTACTTTGGTTCGCAGGTTCGAATCCCGTGGGGAATAATATGGCGAGAGAATTGCAGGACTTCTCGCCGCCGTAGGGTCGTTCACTTAACTGCTAGTCGGTTATGGCCTCCTCTACTATCAGGTCCATGCAAATGTCTGGCTAACCAATTCTATACCCGACATGGACTGGTAACCAGACGAGAGGTACTCGCATCATTATGAAATTCATTTCAAATGCACTGAGGAAACAATTGAATTCGGAATCTGATTCGACCATGTTCCATTATTGACGAATTTTAGTCATTACTTGAAAGCTACTCATTAACAGTGACTGACCTTTGATGTTTGATCACCTCTGCACTGACTTCCATGCCTATTCATAAAAAATTCATGACAAAATGTCTCTCAAGTACATTTAGCCGAGATTTACGGCGCTTTATCGCGTTAACCTTAAAACAGCACTTTGTTTAAAACAAAATAATCTGTCTCATTTAATAATAAAAGCATGAAGAATTCGGAGCATGAAATTGAGTTTTACTTTAGATTCGCCGGAAATTTGCACAAGTAATTTAATGGTTTTATTGGTTAGAATAAAATTTAAGCATTCTAATAATGGTAAACTCATTGTAATGAGTAACTAGCACTTAATTTAACATTAGTATAGTGTTGGGTAAAAATCGCAAGGCAGGTTAGCTTAATGATTTGGTTTCTGCGACACTAACTACTTATCCTTCTTCTATGCTTTTGTGCCGGCGGATCCGTATGCATATATTGCAAGGATGCTGTAGCAAGAGTTAAGATAACTATCCTAAGTTGTTCCATTTCATAAGCCATAGGGCATCAAAGAAGGGTTGAAACTAAGTGCATTTGTGCTACGATTTTCGGGCTTGATTTTGAATCAACAAACAAAATTGTTTTCTGAACTTTCTGAACTATGGCGTGTTCTATATTTTGTACATCGTTGCAGGTTGAAAGGAAAATTTGGTTTTTATTTGCCTGCAGGCCTCTATTTTCGGATTTTGGTAAAAATACTATAACTGGTTGCAAGCAAACGTATACATTTATCTCTCCGGGGGATATTTTGTTTCATTTGGCGGGGCGCCTTTACGACTAATCTAATATAAGAGCACTTTTGTTAATGTCCAAAGCTATTAGTATATTGGGTTATGGTGGGAGTGATTAACTACACGAGTATTAGAATTGCTCGTTTAGACACGGGATCACGAGTCTGCGTTCATCATACAGTTTTAATTTGATCACATGAGTGCTAACGTGACTAAAAAATTGTAAGATTAAAGAAAAACTCGAAGTATTCCATTTGAATTGCTCTGTAACATCGAGCCTTCCATATTCTTAGCCATGTATGACCGTCGTTTTCATAATAAAATAAAAAGATGAGCACTCAAACTCAATGTGACCTATCAAAGATGGATTCGTTTGGAAATACAGTTAACTGCTAAAATGCACCACAGTCCTGGTACAGCAGATCAAATGCATTTCATGTATTATTTAAACTGTCAAAAGTAACCCATTTCACGATCAAATTTCATCTTAAGGAACCCTCTAATTATGTCTGGAATTTTTCCTATTAATGCACCCAAGTGTGTTGTATCAATTATTAAGAAGTTAGTTAATGCATTGTTCCAGCGAAGCGGTAAATTCACTCAAATGTAGTCATGGTGATCTTTTGCTTTTTTAAACACTTTTTGGGTGTTTATTCTGAATACCTGACTATGTATGGTAATGACAAAAAGCTTTGTAACATGTCAAATGGGAGCGTTAAACTTTCAATCAACGCAAAAACGCTTTTTGCTTGTGCTGTGTGGATTATCAGCAATAATTTCGGAAAAATACACAACGGTCTCGAGTTTCCATACTCAATTTGAATTTAAGTAAATCGCAATCCATGAAGCGAAAGAAATAATTTAATCCAAAAACTTTGAACCATCTGCGAGTTAATTGTCAATGAAATCTATTTTCAACAGAATTTAATGTATAGATAATTGAAAAGCGTTTTGGAATTGCATTTTCAATTGCTTTTGACAATTTTGACAGATATTCTTCAACGCTACCAAACTCAATTATCCAGAGCAGATTGAAATTTCGATAGGAAATTGTTCCGAACATTTAATGAATATTGATCGAAAAGATGTTGCCTGTTGAAAGTCGCGTTAAAACAAATACTTCACTCAATATTTAAATTTGAAAGTTTGTGATGCGAACAAAATGAGCTACCCCTCATATTGGTACACACACTTCTGGAATATTGTGCTCAAGTTGAAAAACTTACTCTGCTCAATGTATACGTGAATTTTCTGAAATCTCCACTTGTATCGTCTGCAACATCATCTTCTAATGAAAGCTTAAATTTTCTGGAATATTCCTCTCTGATTCCTTGCATTTCAGCTGCTGTTCGGGTAAGGAGAATTTCAACAAGACACTGAAATAAAAAAAACACTGATGTCCCTACTTTTTGTGCGAATAAATCAATCAAATCTATTTGTTTAAAAATTGCAACGAACAACGACCACAAACTGATAAATGAAAATGTGGCATCTACAAAGATATATTTGTTTAAGATAAAAGATTGATATATAACAAGAGAGCAATGCTCAAATATATGGGCACGAATGCCAAATCAAATCTTTTACAGTACCGGTAGTTTGACGATTAGATTGCTGAAATGCGATTGCGGAATCGACACACGTTGCACATTTTTTTGTTTTGGTGACTCCACCAAACAAAACTTAAAAGTGAAAAATCTCTTAGAGCCCACAGAAATTTTTGAAATGAATAAAAGTGATAGTCTTCTGGCAAAAATACAATCTTAAAATACAATTTCAAAGCAATTGGTTTAGTAATTATGGAGAAAAAATAAACGACATTTTCGTAACAACAAGAAGAACAATACTAACAACATCGACAATTTTAACACAACGATCCATAGGTCTACTCCGTTTCAATGTTTGCAGGTATAAGATGACATGTTAGTTCATTTGACATTTTTATCGATATATATTACAGCAGTTGACAGTTATTGAATCATTGAAAGACAACGAAATCGTGTTAAATGGAAATATTTGAAGATTATATCAAAATGTCCTCAAATTATTATTTTATTCGCGGTTCAGAAAACCAACCAATTTTCAACGTCATCGTAAAATAATCCAGAAAATCCGGCCACACCGGTAACGATATGGAACGAGTAACAAAGGGTCTTAAGTTCAACGAGAGAGGATTATACACGTAAGCACTTAAATCTTAGTTTAGTCAACAAACTATTATAATCAACTGTTGTGGTGTAGAACGGTGAAGTTGAATATTCCTTTCCATAAATATGCTTCAGCTGAATTCTACGAAAATGCTCGCGTGTAAAAACTTGAAAGATTAGTCTCTTAGATAGTTTTTGGTATGGTTAACTATCGAACGGTAAAGTTAGTATTGCACCCCATAAACATAGAGCTCGAAATATTCCTCATCGACATTTTACAAGAATGTTTGTGTGGAAACACTTGAAAGATTAGTCTCTTTGATGATATTTGGTGTGATAAGGCCGTAAAGTTAATTATTGCACTTCATAAACATAGAGCTCAAAATGGTTCTAATCATTCTAACCACCATTTTACAAGAATGCTTGTGTGAAAAAACTTAAAAGATTAGTTTCCTATTATAGTTTCAGCCATGCTGCAGTAGGTCGATTGAATATACTATCTAATGGACATTATCGACCGCAGTAGACGTGGTGGACATTGTATGTGTCATTTCTCATTTGTGTTTGTAAACGAATAAACATCTTAAAAGCTGGAATATTGAAAATAATTTTGCAGTGCTGTCATCAACAGATAGTATTTGTCAGAGGCATATTGATTTGACATAGTAATTCTTGAAAATGTCAAAATAAATCGTATAACCCATACTGATGTCAAACATGAATACAAAAATATAGGATTACGGAATTTAATGTACCCCAGCCATTTTATTAAAACAGATATTGATGCATTATCGTTGCAGCTTACGTGATGTATTTCACTGTGTGGTACAATCTAAATCGGACATGGGCGAACTATGGCCCGCGGGCCAAATCTGGCCCGTTGGGTAATTCAATCTGACCAGCATGATTCGGTCACAACCAAACCAAAACCGAATTTTGATGTTTTAGCTAAAAAAATAACCCAAGCAATTTGACTGCGATTAAATTTAGTTTGTGCACGAGGTTTATTGTTTTCCACTTTTATCACACTTACATGGCCCGCTATTCCAGCTAGGTGGGCAACATTTTTGGCTCCTGGTGCAAAAATCTTGCCCTCCCCTGATCTAAGTGATATTCCATTTTTAATCCTTATAGAAGGTAATATTAATCTCAAAATATTTGATTTATTAGCCAATACCAAGCGAAATTGTTTCTCCCCTAATACTTTAATTGGAACATTCTTTTTTGGGTTAACAGAATGTTTGGGATTCCTTCTATGAACCGTAAGTATAAAAATATTGCCCCAAAATATATACAATTAATATATAGAGAAAAAATATTAAATACAATTCAAATTCTCTATTTTGAAATGTAGAATTTGTATACACTCGAAAACTTTCATGAGAAAACATTTCAGGGCGTAGATTTACTGGTAACATGATGTAACTTGTGCAATTTTGCAAAAATTTGAGTTGAGTTTTCCAAATGATATAGTGACTTTCCATGACATTATAGCCATGTCATTCATGATATGGGAAATGACTATTGAACAAGACATTTGATCTTTAGAAACAGGAATTCTCAAACAATATTACAATGTCCAGTAGCATATGGTTTATCAGTGTTGACAGGTGTTTCTGATGTATTAGAGCATATTTGAACAACTCGGGTTTTTCGCATCACGCATTTAGACTTGAACCGCCAAAGGTTTGATTGTATAAAAAGATTTGTTTTGCGTTTTTGTACATTGTCCTTAATCCAAATTTTTCGTCGCACAAAAGACAGTTCAAATTTACTTGTCGATTATCTTCAATAATCAAATATTTAGAAATTAAGAAAGGCGTGGTTTTCCAGATGCCTCGAAATTTATGAATGGGAAATAAATAATGCTCTGCTGATTACGTGACGGAAAACATCTCCAAGTGCGTCATATTGAATTTTAACAAAAAAGACAGGATTTGTATAACATAGTCTATTAATTTTTGAAAGAATCAACCCAAAACAATTTCACGCAAATGTACTCAGAAGTTTGCCATTTTTATACCATTCTTCCGTGATTTGAAAAACACAAGTATGAGTTCTGAACATAGATGATGGATCGACAAAATCAGAATTCCAATTTAGTATTTATCCTTTTACCTAGTTTTCACCAGATTATATCCCCACTGTATGGAGTATTTTTTACATATATTTCTTGGTCATAACAGTATGACAACTGGTAAACAAACAAACCTATGCCATGTGGAACGAAGCATTATTTACGATTCGTTCGTGGTATTCAGTCTTTAAAATCAGTTTGACGTTTAATACTGTTCGTTACATGAGCAATAAAAATGAAGTCGAAACAAATCGTTTGCCTTTTTTTCTCTGGCTATTATATTTGAAATTATTTCAATTCAATTTGTTTATAGTTAAGGTTGTATTATCATATTGCACTATCTTGATCTAATTTTACAAGTATGATATAATTTACAAATTGAGCGTTTTTAACTGAGTAAAATTTTTTTGATAATGTTTAGGTCAAAACAGTATGAATTTAAAATATAATATATATTTTCACGTGTTGATCGAACGAGAAAGTACATCTGACCAAATATCTTCGTGCCAAGTAGGTATTTAATCATGAAAAAGCGCGATCGACTAATTCCAAAGATTATTTTTACGAGTATTCTTGTTTTTTTCTAATTCTCTAATCTTCAATTCTTGTCAAAGCACATCATAACAAAGGATTCAGACGTAAAAACACGTCATTCGAGTGAAACACTGTGATAACCACGTTTCCCTCGAGATTTATAAACACAAAAAGCGGTCGATCGATAAATTTATTAAACCCTTGAAATGTCATAATGAGATTAGAACGCAGTGTTAAAGATCCGAGCCGGATTCACGTAACATAGCAAAAAAAACTATAATTTTACTAATACAGCCTCGAAATAGGAGATTGAAAAACTTTTCTCTATAGATATTTTGAATCATCAAATATAAAACATCAAGTTAAATATTATTTTGGGCAAAGTTGCTGTCGCATATGTTTTGCATTTCCTGGTTTTTGTGATGCTAACATACTGTAGGTTTGTGAAAATTAAGTATCTCGGAAATATAAACAATTTGACAAAACAGTACATGAATGGGACATCAATGGCCTCTTTTGTGAAGGACGTTATGGGCGGACATACAGACAAAAGTTTTTTTTAGAGTTGTACTGTCAACCAGGTGTTATGGGTACTCCCGAAGTATGTGAACCAAGATGGCGGACACCGGAACGTAGTATGTGTACCAGGTTAGGGTTAGGCGATAATTTTAGGTATAAATACTACGAGAGTTACTTGGCTAGTCTCCGAACGTAATAGAAAGGAAACAAGTAATATTCTAATAAAATTATGGCCTAACCCTAACCTGGTACACATACTACATTCCGGTGTCCGCCATCTTGGTTTACATACTTCGGGAGTACCAAATGCTTATGTATAAATCTGTCCTGTTGTTTTAACATTTGACGATAATCTAAAATTTGTTAACGGACTAACTCGTGATCCTGATCAGCATCGAAAGCGCAAGTGAAATTTAGGCTGCATTTTTCCAGCCATTGTTGAGTAATTTTGTTACTGAAATGAAATTACAGTCGTCATTACGATTCCAATCCGTGAAGTAATTTCAAGATCAAGGAAACGTTCATAAAATATTTATAAGTATAGCAAGAAATGTGAAGTTCAAAAGGTTTGTACATTGCTAAACTTATTATTTAGGTGAAAACTAATTTAATTGGCCATGCCGGGAATGGTAAAATTTAGCAACGTTTTTGCGTAATTTCATGGAGATGAACAGCGAAATCTTCGATACCGATATTGGTATTCTACACTACAGGGTATTAAAATAAAACGCAAAATTAACAGAAGTTAAGATGAAATGATACTTAAAACATTCAATGAAGACTGACACCTTTTAACAGTATTGGATTGCGGTAAAATGAAATTTAAACATTTCACGACTGACGCTTTTTAACAATTACTTTTTTAAGGTTGTCATGACGAAAAAATTTAGTATAATTTTGGGTAACTTTTTTAACACCCTGTCTTTCGCCCTCAGGTTGTGTGTCAATTCAGTTCAAATTTTGGACAATTTAAAAATTATCGTATTTTTGTCACACTTTTATGATACTTCCTGATTTTTGATTACACAACCCATAGCATAGAGTGATACAAAAGCTAAGCTAAGCTTTATGTAATTCTGAATTTTTCAGACACACTATAATTATATCCAAATTTGAATTATAGGAAAACGAAATACGAATGTTTAAAAGTAAATATAAGAGAGAGAGAATCTTTTAGCCATGTCGATATATGTTATTAGAGGGTAATTATTTGCCTACAATGACTAATCCACGTCAAAAAATGAAAATAAAGTAAAAACACATCCACGTTGTTGGTATCTCTGTTAAACTAGAAGATTGAAGAAGTGAGGAATGAAATTCCAAAATCGAAAATGAGATGAATCTACAAGCTTGCTAAAATGGAACTGGGTCCTGTTATGCAGGGTTTTCCAAACTTTGGGAGCGCGGACCGCTATTTGAGAATCTTAGTTTTGTTGGATCCCCATCATATGCTGTATCAATTTGTCTGTCTAGCGAGGATCGAGGATGAACAATACTTTATATACAACACTACAACAAAAACGACATTAATGTGATAGACGGGGTGATTCCTCGACCTGTATCTTGTCATCATATTGATAAGATCTGAAATGTTGCCTCACAAATACAGGTCATTGCAAAAAGCAATCATATTTTAATTTCTTTACTTGCAACAATTGATATTCGTCAGTAACGCACAACCAAAAAGATACAATGGCATTTTGATTGAAATCAATCATTAAAGATCGATCAGACTCTTTTCATATCGTTGCAGCCATGTGCAGCCATCACGGACACCCAGGGGTCCGCGGACCCTAGTTAGGGAAACCCTGCTGCTATAGGATATATAGAACAATAATCACAATTTTGGATCTCGGGATAATAAACACTCACCCGTTCGTCAGTTCCAAGTCCTTTTGTTGCTCCTTTCAAACATACAGCATCGTAAACTAGGGGTCGTTGAAATAATGCGAGTAATAATTGTTTAAAATCTGGTGAAAATCGAATCTTTAATTCAGATTTGAATTCTTTGATGAGATCCTAAAAATAAAGTAGTACTAAATGGAATTCTTTATCCATATTTAAATTATTGACTCGTTTATTCTGTTTGATATATTTCAAAATTAGATATAGTAGAATGATGCATAAAATGTGTTTTCATACTTTTGAGAAAAATACTTTCAAAACCCGTATTTTACTATATAAAGTTTTTCATGAATTTTCGGTTTTATAGTCGTGATTTTGGTATGCCTGAAGTATGCGTACTGAGATGGCGGACACCGGAACGTAGTATATGTACCAGGTTAGGGTTAGGTCATAATTTTATTTCAATTTCCTTATTTTAGTTCTATTACGAGTTCGAGGACTAGCCAAGTGACTCCCGTAGTATTTGTACCTGAAAGTATAGAGCGCCGTGATTTGAACTAAACAGTGGATCTAATGAAACAAATGTAAGGTTGGGTATATATCATCGCAGATATATAAACAAATATGATATTTCAAAAGTCAAAAATTGCATTTTAATGTTCGAAATACCTTTTGATAAAGAACAGTAAATTCTTTTTTTATTTCTTGCCTTTGTGCGTTGTTACAGGATGAAACTATTTGAATGATTGCTTCTTCATCTGTTCCTATATAATAAATAAAAAAAATTTGATTTAAATAACGGTACTCCCATATTATGCGTACCAGGTTAGGGTTAGGCCATTATTTTATTCTAATTTTCCTTATTTTAGTTCTATTACGAGTTCGGGGACTGCCTGTGTTAGCCAAGTGAATATCCCCTTGTCCATTGGTTTCAATCCCTTTACACAAGTTGATGTAAAATAGGCGAACAAAATTTGTTACCTCCATATTGGTACGCATACTTCTGGGGCGCCAAAATAACACCCATAACATATTTCTATTTGTGTCAATTATGTGAACAAGGATAGGGGGAAATATATTTGTTGTTCACATTTGAACACTTGTATCAGGAACACTATTCCGCAGGAATTAGTAAACAATATTGTCCATGTTACAAAAGCCCACTTCTGATGCAAAGTCTCAGGACCTCCGACACCGAGATCTTCAAATATGCTCCATGAAAGAAAAAATGAAACGGGGCCAACTCAACTCAAATTTTAAATCACTTCTTCGAGAAGAAAAACAATCATGAAATAAAAAAGTTTATAATTTTAACGAAATTTCTGGGCAATACGACGTCGGCATATAATTTTCTTCAAAACAATGAATATATATAGTACAGTTAAATAAAAATTCTTCCCGGAAGTATGTATGCCAGTATAAAAAATAATTCTCAGGCACGACATACTAAATTTTTGTGTTGATGCAACAATTTATTTGAACGAATATATTGCGTTTATTGCAAACTTCGCTGTATTCTTGACTATTATACAATTATAATAAATCACATGGAAATTAGATTAAACATGCAATTTTCGTGATAGCAATGTAAATTCTCTAAAATATTGATCTTACGTTTTAACGTCAAATGTTAAGTGAAAATTTCTCGCCAGAAAATCGACTTTTGCGGTTTTCGCGAGGAATATTGTCTTCGTACCACGACCTTTATGGATAATGCAGGCGAGAATTAAAGCAAAAAATATGTTAAATTTACAGCATTTCACAGAAAATTATTTACAAAAACCTGGGTGATTTGTCAGCTTTAAAAACCTAATTTTCGGGATTTTTTGCAAATGCAATTCTGTATGGAACTCGGGTCAAATACATGGTGTCAAATAAATGCACGGTTCATCATATAACGAAGATTTTCAATGGTTTTACTTCCATGTTGTAGTGACGGATCATATGAAGATCCCCCTCCAAACGTACTAGAGGGGGGAGGGGTTACTATGATCAAGCCTGGACGGGAGGCGACTAGGGGGTGGGTCTTCATATGAGCCGTAGTGACTGTAACTATATTTATGGTTGTTGTCTGGAATCCGTAATTTAGTAATGTTGTATCGGTCTAGTCTACTCTAGAGGATACTACCAAAGGTCAAAACAATTTATTGCTCTTTTAGTGTACAGTACAGCTAATATGACAAATATTTACAAATGCCACGTGTAACAGCTTACAAATTCACACGCCCTGAACAAATATGCAAGACAAGATTGTCAAACTGACCGGCATATTCAATAGAATGCAGAAGGTGTCATCGACATGACACAATCAAGTTATTCAAGACAGAAAACCATTTTAACCGGATTATTGGGAACATTACTTAATATTACAGTTACTTATTGCTTTCAAATTTTCCGGAAAACCTGAGAGACATGAAATTTCACTCCAAATGTTGCTGTTTTATTTGAATTGTTAGGAACACTTCTTAATACGTTTATTCCGTCACGCTTGTCCGTCGATCACTTCAGCCAATTCGGTGCTTGGCTAACGTTTTTCCACATTGCTTTTCTGTTACGCACCAGATTCTAAATTAATTAATAATTTAGAAAAAAAAATAACAAACCTAGTCCATGTATTGCCCTCCATATAGATTGTGTTTCTTCTCTGACATTAAAGTCATCGTTTTTCATCATGGTACATCTGCCACGTTTTCCGCTCCTCCATGACGTCATACTTTTTTATACCGTTTATTATAACTAAAAACTGTCATACAGTAAAACAAAATTGAAAATTAGTCGAAAATATGATTTTTCAATGCTATAGATATACATCATGAAATAATACATTTGCTTTCATTTGAAAGTAAAGGAATAACGTATTTTTGTTAAAAATTTGCGCAACAAAGAATTAATCATCGTCGACGAGAAGTTATATTTTTCAGTTGAGCTAAGTATAAGCAATAAGTCTTGCAGTAATCAGTATGATTTCATATGAAAACAATGGTCATATTCGCTTTTCAATCTAACCTTCTAAAAATAACTGCAAATACGTATTTGCTATTAGTTACTCTCTGACTAATTGGTGAACCTAAAAACACCTTCCTCCTTTTCACTGAAAACAAACAAAACACTCGTGCGGCTGCTGTGTGTGCCCTGTTAAAACTGTAGAGCGGTTTTCTCTTATTTCTCTTTAGTAGTGATGGTATTTAACTGTAGACAACAACAATTCCGCATCCCTGATTTTGTATTTTACGCCGTCGAAAACAAAACGCTAAAATTGCACCGTAAAATGCACGCTCGGCGATTTTATGTTGCTTCTTTTGTTTTTCTCATTGCACGAACTTCAACTTTTGTTCAAATTCACAAAAGCGTGAACGCTGTCAACCACTTAATTAGTAGTCCTCCCACATACTAGAGTTTTTCGTGCGTATGAATTCTTTCCTGCAATGAGAATCGGATGACGCATCGATAGACCATATCCACTTCCGGAAGAATGAAAATAATTCTATTTCAGTAAAACGATCGTTAAAAATGCATGCCATTCGTACACATATTCACACAAACAGTCAAACAAATATCACTCGTTGTACAAAACATGTCAGTCAGATATATCAAGCACCAGGCAACTGAGGACAAACACGTAGTAATTGTCTGACCCTTACATCAATAGGAATGTAAAACAGTTGGTCGAAGTGTATGTTTCCTTTGTCTGAATAATGTTTTGAGCCAAATACAGAAGTTTACCTTACTATTATTTTACTATGCAATTCTTAATAGACTAATGGTAAATCCACAGACGAATCATCTTCCAACGAAGGTTTAATTAACTTAGCGCGTAATAGCCACATGACCCAGTATTTAGCAACAAAACACTTTGTATATAGTTGAATAGAAGCAAAACAAAATTCGTATATGCTATATTTTCTGGTATAAAAATCAAGAATACCAATTGCACAATTCCAAATACAATCTCCTGTCCAAATACTGCCTCAATGAGGAGCTAATACTGAATACAAAGGCAAATTATTCACGACAAAATCCTCGTTCGTTCACCTGACTTGACGACTGAGCGATTAATCATTCTTGGAATGAAAAATTCATTACTTTTTAAAACGGTGATCTCGACTTAATGCTATTAAAGACCAACGAGACATGCTGAAGTCTACTGTTAACACCTCAAGCGCATTTAAATTTTAATTTCACATTTTTCCCACTACATAAAATATGCTGAGCTTGAACAAATACACTAGCAAAAAGCGCTACTTGTCGAACAAAACGAGATGCGAATAATCAAAAATTGTCCTCGGTGAAGCGCATCGCCTTGGCGGCATTAATTCGCATCGCGTGAGGCGAAATCTCGAGAAAATATCAAGGACACTGTTTCACCTTTCAAGAATCCCACAGAAAAATAGTTATTCGTATGTAAATTTTATGTGTAGTCATCAAAATTTTGCCCGTCCATGAATAAAGGAAACAATTTATAGTTATATGAAAGTTAACAGCTGACGTATTCGCAAGGGCGATCGGTATTAACCTTAAGTTATGCTAGCATTATGGTTAGAAATCTACATTACTATCGAAAATATTTACTCAAGCGCCCATCCGATGATAGCATCTATACCTAAGTTCATCTATTTTAAGAGACAGTTCGACGGAATGACAAAAATGGCACAACCGGTTTGTCATATCTGAGAGAGTATTGTAACGTTTTTCATTAAGACTGCTCTATTAATTCAGAACATTTAAATCATTGTGGGATTTAAAGCAGATGTTAGACCATTAATTCATTGCAGGAAAAGTAATGGAATATGTAATCTACGATGTAGACCAAAAGGCAATCAATATCGAGAATAAACTATAGTAAACAATTTAAATCAATAATGGTTAAGTTGTTGCCATTAATTAATTTCGCGCCATGCGCTTTTAATTAATTGACTGGCAGGTCTACCTCCACAAGAAAGAAATTGAAGTTGAACGATTACCAACAACTCTCATCAGCCTTGGCCATTTTAATTGGCCAAAAATTTTTGATGTCAATTTGGTATGTGATCATAGCGGCCGTGTGATTTTAGCATAAACCTAACACGACGATGATAGGGTTAGCGGCAGGAACAGAATTCTATGAAATGTCTTTATGAGGATAAACGCCGACAAATGTGGCACCAATTATGATTGAGATCGCGTCAAGCAAGTGTGATCACGTACCAAAGTCGTCTTTTGACTAGTACTAGTAGTATGACTATTTTTATTGTCGCATACCAAAGTGGAACTTGGGTGGTACGATTGGGATTTTCAATGAAATGTACATTATTTTCTATGCCACAGAGAGTACAACTCTCTGTGGCATAGAGTCCCTTTTCGCAAGTAATTCTATATCACCGAATATTGGGCAGAATGTTTATTTGCCTAAGTCGGACGTTCGTTTCCAATTCTGTGAAAATTATACACTTTCTTTGAAATTTAGTTTCTTACAAATGCGTGTATAGTCACAGCGTTATTAATTAGATACATTTTTAGTAGGCATTTTACTCCGAATTGCTCGGCTATCGCCATAAGTGAAATAGATTGTTAGACTATTCAACTCATATTTAAGGTTCGGAACAATGGAATTCGCTTTGAACACTTTGAATGGTGAGATTGAATTTTGCTCGGCACTTGCCAGTACCCAAAAATTAAAATATAATCATGCTACAATTGTTTATCAATTTTTGCAAATAGTCAAGTTCAATAAGTTGGCCACTGATGCCTGAATACTATTTGTTATGAAGTTGAGTTAGTTAGATGGTTAACACGAGATTTTCCTAGTAGTACGAAAAAGTTGAAACAAAATTACAGAAACAACAATTCATATAGCATACCAAGTTTTAGCCACAACTTTCATATATTCCACCTAAATACAAATGTTATTTTAGACGAATATATGTATAATATTGTTACCATTGTTTGTTATGTTGTTTGAATATTTGTTATGTTGGAGTAAGTTCCCGCCGCAGACAAAGTAATGCATTTATCGCGCACCTGACATATAACCGCTATTGAAAATTTAATGAGAAAATCGTATAGTAACGGGAATTACATATTCTCAACTTTCGAGTTCAACTTGGAGCAACTAACAAAATTTTTAGATTAATTTCGCGAATGCAAACAATTTATTCTACTGTATCTTGAACATATATAGTAAGTACCAGTCTATGTAAATTTACTATTTGCTGAATTATAACTGAAAATGCACTAGCGTAAGTTTTGGCATTGAGTACTTGCATTCCTAACAATATTTTAAAGTTTATCACCTGCTGTTGCCTCTTCCCTACAAGAATATCTAATCTGGAAGGATACTCCCGTAGTATGGGTACCAACCAGGATATGGTTATGCCATACTTTTATTCCGGTTTTCCTTATCATAGTTCTATTACGAGTTCGGAGACTGTCTGTGTGAGCCAAGTGAATATCGCCCTGTCCCTTAACACAACTTGATGTAAAATAGGCAAACGCAGTTAGTTATCTTACCATATTGGTACACATACTTCTGGAGCGTCTCTGAAAGTTGTATATAAACGACTAGGAGATCTGTTAACTGGCGTTCAACTTTTTGAAAGTAACAAAAATGCCCGTTACCATCCATTACTTTGAAGACAAACGAAGAAAATCACATGCTCACGTATTGCACTTTACCATTATCCATAAGTTCACTTAACCTAAACTATGATTCATTGTCTGCATGTGCAACAAATTCTGTTTCTACGATGAACAATACTTTAAAATCACTATACGCAAAACAGACATGGCGATTGCGATTACTAATCAATATATTACAAATTTTGCATGAAGATATGGAAAGTCGCCAATGTTTTATTAAAGGCTAATATTCCGGTTATCATCATGGATTCCTGCATTGCATTTGTCGGAAGTGGAAACGTATGGTTCTACTTTTGAAATACGATCGTGCTTATCAAATTTCAGAGTATATTTGAAAAATATAAACGCAATCATGATCTCTCAATGTAATGTAATCTAATGAATATTTTCGTTGAAATATTGATATATATATTATGCCATATTATACTACTCGTTGAAAACAACCAATTAAAATCCACAGTTACACGATAATCGGTTAAACCATGGTTAAATGTAACCACGTATTTGTCAGGCTGAATATTCGGTGTACAGTTTGTTACCGACGTATCCCACTTCCATTCGCAGTATTCTTGATCATATTTTAAAGTATTTTTGCGTGTACCTGGTTCTAACTCCTATTAATAATTTAATTGAAGACGAATTTGTTCTATTATACAAATTTGACAAATGAGGTTTGACAATTCAATTATGTTTGCTGAATTCAAACTCAATTGTGGGACCGTCTCGTCCATCCCCTAATCGAAGCTACAACTAGCTAACTCCCGTCTATCCCACAAACTTCAGACTAAATTATCCGAATCTAAAACTCCATTCTTTTGTGACAGCTACTGCTTGCAACACACTACCGAAATACAATACTTTCTAAACCATAACAAAACTCATAACTTTGCCCCGGAGCGAAATAATGAATCACTTAAAACGTGCTAGGCCTGCAGACAAAATGTGACTCTGTTGTAGTAATAGTGTAAAAAACTTGGGTTTGGGCCATATATGACTAAGCAAGACTTGTAACAGTAAGAGTGAGTAACAGTATTGGCTCATGCCCGATACTAAATTGCATTAAACTCCGGTGCTGGAACGAACTAAATTGCACAGTGAGTCCTGCATTAATCAGAGGATTTCCGCTCTGAAC